ATATATATATAATATCGATAGAATATTAAATTCATTTGAATTTTATGTTTATTAATTTTCAAATAAAGATAAATTCTATACACTCAGATGTTAAAAATCAAACAATCTTAATCATTTAGTATTCAGATCTTAATACTTATCTTAATATTTAGATATGTATTCAAATTCAGATGTCTTAATCTTAATACACATCTTGATATTCAAACGTTTATTTAAATTCAGACGTTTTAATCCTATAAAAAAAAACAAATGAGGCCTTAGTCCCCTTTTATCTGACATTTAAAACTTTTGACACAGTCGTTAAAAAGTATTATTTAATAGCATTAACTCTAAGGAGTATTTTACTAAATTATCCTTACTTTACTTGTAGTTTGCTAATTAAGTTTTATCCTAATGGATAGGGTTAAAATAATTGTTAGAAATCCGTGGATTAGCAATTCGCTAATGAAGACTTTTCCTAATATATTGGGTAAACCTTTTTAAAGTTTGTTATTATTATTACGAGGGAAAGGGAAAGTAGAGGAGGGGATAAGGATAGATCGAGTCCGGAACCGAAATGTTGTCTTTTTGGATTCAAAGTACTTTTTTAGATGGAAAAAAAAATTTAGTTACTAAAATATGTAAAACGCGATTTTGAACCGCATTTTACCTTAACGGTCGTTTGGGACGTTAAGGTAAAACGCGGTTCAAAACAGGTTAAAAACCACGTTTTACAAAAAATTTCTATTGTATACTTGGGCAACATGACGGAATCATCGCCTGGATTTATTTTGGATAATTGTTGTTGTTTTCTTTCCTCTTTTTGGGTTTAGGGTCCGTTTGGAAAGCCACCAGGTAATTGGAATTGGTATAATTACTAGGGTAGTAATTATACAACCTAGTAATTACACAGTTGTGTAATTATGACGACATGTTTGTTTGGCATAGTGTAAATACAGTGTAATTACAAGTTTACTGTTTGGTTGCACAAGTGTAATTACACAGTTAGATTAAATTTTAAATGAAGTAATTATCAAAACCTAAAAGTTAATATAATAAATATATGCCTATAACTTTTTTTATAAGTATAAATGATATTATATTTGGTATTTAAGATGTATATTTTTTCGTGAATATACATTAATTAGTAATCATATATTTATAATTAATATTATAAAAATAATATATATATATATATATATATATTTCAAATTGATAATATTTAATTTAAATACTTACAAAAACTAAAAACATAAGTTTTGTAACAACATCATGGCATTCATGTTTGATAAAATAAATTAATATTTATAAATATAATGTCATTCAAATGTTTGACAAAATTAATCTATCATTTCTAACTAAAAAATGAACAACATGCAATGTGAGACAACACTACTAAAACAAGTAAATTAGAACCATGAATATAACAAAAATTTAAAATCCAAAAAAAAAACAGTTTAACATATGTCGATTCCAACATAATAATAGTAAGTTCCACTACAACTTAAGTTTAGGAAACATAATAAGTTTATAACCATATTCAACAACGAAATTTCACTTTAATTGTCTCACTCATTATGTGGCAAGTTTGTTAATGACTCATTATTTCTAATATTAGGAGGTGTATTTTCAAAAAATAAAATAATAAAATAAATAAAAAATAAAATATAAGCAACTACATGAATCACAAGAAGTAAAGGTAGAGAAATAAAAGATAAATAATGTACAAAAAATATATTTTAAAAATTCAAAAAAAAAATTAAAAGGTAAAAATAAAATAAAAATTTAAAAATAAAAAATAGAAATAAAAATTTATAAAAAAATAAATTAAAAGAAAAAGAAAAAGAAAAGAAATTAAAAGGCAAGCTTGTAATTACACAGTGTGATTACCACCAATTCTCACCTTNACCAATTCTCACCTCCCCCTTGAGAATTGGAGAGTGTAATTACACCCCTCCAATTACACCCAATTCCATGTTGACCAAGTAATTACTTAGCCAAACAAACATGCCAAACTGTGTAATTACACCAAATTTCACCCAAATCCAATTCCCAGGTGGCTTTCCAAACAAGCTCTTAGTTGAAATTTGAAATATTGCGTTTAGACAGATTTTCGGAAACTGTTTTTAAAAAATGGAAATTTTTTATCTGAGAAACAAAATGCGTTTTGAATTTATTTATTTTCAAATTGTTTTTTTTCCTTCTGGGTTTCCAGATTCTTTTTTGAAAAGTAAAAATTTGCTCTTCATCTATAATTATGAGTGTTAATTGCAAGTTAACAAGTTGTTTCACTCCTAATGTATTTTTTATGCATCTCACCATTAGATTTAGTACAATATCTAGCATTATTTAACATCTGAAAGTTTTTTCAAATGTATCAAAGTAAGAAATAGTTCACTAATTCTTAATTTTAGTTATTCTTATTGTAAATTCAAACTTTCCAATAGTTTGTGATGGAAGTTAATTACTCTTTACAAATACCCATAGATTTATTTACTATGTAATAAATACACTAAATGATTATTCTTCAATAAAAAAAAATTATTTATTATTAGACGGGGTGCGGAGAGAAAAGTTTTTGCTCATTGGTGTAAATATAAAATGTGCAAATAGTTGTAGATATGCATCCACTTTACAGATTTCAAATTCAAATTCTGGGACTTTTCACAGATAAGTCAAAGTGCTTAATACTATATTTTGATGAGTTTGACTTGATATACTCCCTCCGGTCACTTTTACTTGGCACCTTTTGATTTTTCACGCCCCTTAAGAAATAATAAATGAAGTGTTTAATTTACCACGATACCCATATATTTTATTGGATTTGAAAAAATAATTTGAAATGAGTAATAAATACTATGGGTAAAAGGGGAAAAATATTATTGTTTACTCTTTGATAAGCGTAAGGTGCCAAATAAAAGTGAACATCTATTTTTAGTATACATGCCAAGTAAAGTGACCGGAAGGAGTAAATATTAAGTACTTCAAATCGAATTGAAGAAGAAATCTGTTTCCAAAAAAGATAGGTTACTTAATTCCAAAGTGATTAATCGAGTGGGATCAATGAACCCTACTGGTGCAACTACAATGATTCAAAGCAACAGTTTAAGTTTGAAGCAAACGAGCCAAATTCTTTGGCAAATAGAAAACGCGGTTGATTTGTAAAACGTGGTTTTTAACCGCGTTTTTGTAAAATGCAGTTTTGAACCGTGTTTTACCTTAACGTCTCAAACGGTCGTTAAGATAAAAAGCGGTTTAAAACCGCGTTTTACATATTTTAGTAACTAAATTTTTTTCCACCTAAAAAAGTATTTTGAGTCCAAAAAGATAACATTTCGATTCCGGATTCA